TTGGTGCATGTTGGATATTTACAATGGTAAGACAGTTTCTTTCTCTTTCTCATTTTCATACCTGCTATACCAGTGGGTTTTGCTGTTTCTCATATATTAATGGTCGTGATTATTGTTTTTTGGATTCCAGGTGCAGGACTCCCTTGATGATTTCTTGCAGGGCTTGTAGTATAGTGGTGAACTCCTGCAATTTTTGTTGGTCTATGCAATATACTTTTTCTTCTTCATTTCTGAAAGATACTAGTATTTTTGTCTGGCTTGTTGTTTTCCTTTTTGTGCTTTGGATATGTCATCCCATTGTCTCCTGGCCTATAGGGTTTCTGCTGAGAAATCTGCTGTTGGTCCAATGGGGTTTCTCTTGTAGGTGACTTGATGCATTTCTCTATCTCTTTTTAGGGTTATTGCTTTGCCATTGACTTTTGACAGTTTGACTACAATGTGTCTCTGAGATGATCTTTTTGGATTAAATCTGTTTGGTGATCTTTGAGCCTCTTGTTTCTGGAAGTCTGCATCTTTCCCAATACCTGAGAAATTTTCTATTATTTCATTAAATAGGTTTTCAGTGCTTTTTCTTTTCTCCTCCTCTTCATGAACAACCATGATTGAGATTTTTATGTTCTTAAAGTTGTCTGATAGCTCACATAGATTTTCTTCATTTTTAAAAATTCTTCTTTCTTTTTTTGCCCAACTGGGTTATTTCAAAAAGACTGTGTTCACAATCAAAAATTCTTTCTTCTGCTCACTGTGGTCTGCAGCTTAAGCACTCCATTGTATTTGTTGTTTCATAGAAAGAATCTTTCTCTTCCAGGAATTCTGCTCCAGTACATTCTTTATTAATATATCAATCTCTTTGTGAATTTCCTCTTTCATATCCTGGATTGTTCTCATTTTGTTGTGTAGCCTGACTCTTTTTGTATCTCATTGAATTTCCTTAAGATTGTTGGTTGGAATTCATTTTCAGTCATTTTAAAGGTTTTTTGCTGTTAGGGGTCTGGTACTTGAGAATTATTATATTCCTTTGGTGGTGTCATATTTTCTTTTCTTTTTTTTTTTAACATCTAGTATCCATACATTGTTGTCTGGTCATCTGGTGGAGCAGTTGCTTCTTCTATTTCTCTGGAGTGGTTTTTGAGGAGAAAGACTCCCTCCTTTAGATGTGTTTTATATTGGCCATTGGACAGGGTGTTTTAGTTTTGATTCCAGGTAGACACAGTAGTGTAGTCTCCATGGGTTACCTCAGCCATATTCAATGTTGGAGTTGTCTTTGAGTGCTTCTCTAGCCTCAGTACTGGGGCACTCAGTGGTTTCTTGCTGAACTGAGTGACACTGTGTTGGGTTGTTGAGGATGTGGGCGAGATCTTGAGTTCTTGGGAGAAGTGCCTGGGTGCCCTGTTGCTCCTTGGCTGAGGTGGGTTACCCTGGGCATTCTTGTTGGCATCCCAGCTAGAGTCCTGTGACACTGATAGGTGTATTGGGGTGCACTGGAACTCTCAGCTTGAATGGATGACCCTGGGAAGCGTTTCTCTTTCCTCTGTCCTGCAGGCAGAGGATCCTCTTGGGACCTTGCTTTCCCTTGTTAGGTGATGGGTTGGTGGTGGTTTGCTATTTTCTTCTGTGCTCTATTTGGCTATCCTGAGTTTCTGCACTCACTGGCAGCTCTGAATGTGTCCCTGCCCAGGTTAATGTTATTGCTTGGACTGTGCAGGTAGTTCCCACTCTGGTTGTGCAACCATGTGGGCAGTATAATTTCCCCTGTTGGTTGGGCCACTGGGTTGCAGGGCTACACACACTTCTTTCTGGTGGCTCTATATGTGTCCCTTCTTGGGTCAATACAGGTACATGATCTCTGCAAGTAGTTCCTACCTCTGGGTACATGGGCTGTGTTCACTCACCTTTTTTCCCTCCTGCCTGGTAAATCACAGGAACACCTGCATCCAGGCAAGGTAGAGCTGGTGGCACCCTGGCTGGGAATTAGCAGGGAGTGGAATGGACAGTGTGTGGCGAGCCACAGCACTCTGGGGCTGGATGATGCTGGTTGCGGTTGGCAGCAGTGGTGACAGGTATAAGAGTGGCTGTGGCAGTGACTCGGTGAGTTCTTTTTCATTTAGAAATTTTTCAGTTAAATATTATTTGGTATGTTCCTGTTTAAATACAATTTTGCTTAATAGCTTATATATGAATTACTTTTTTGCCAGTAGAGGGCACTTTTGGATAATGTAATATTACTAGTCTCCAATTATTATGTAAAGGCCTTTTAGCAATATATGATTTTTTTGCCAACACAAAATTACAGCTATTTAATGGGTAGTTTCTGGTTGTTTTTTTGTGTGTAATTTTAATAATCCATATGTTGATATTCTATAGAAATAGTGCCAAGCTCATTTTGGACACAATCATGGTAGTAAGTGATAGAAATATTTAATATTTACACTTTACAGTATTTTGTTAGCAAAATTTTGTATCTCAAACATTTCACTCATGTACATAACCAAGTACTCTTCAAAATATTACTTTACACTAATACTTCATTTTATTTGCATAACAGTTTAGTAGGTTATAATCTCCCTTTAAATAAGGGTCTTTTCTCCCCCAATCATCCAGCCTAACATTATCTAATAGGAGAGTGGCATCTATTTAAACAGGAACTAATTAATAAGCAGTTAGGCCAACTAATTTAAGGTGCACAAAATTAAAGATTATACTTAAAACCTTTAAAAAAATGCTAAGTACTTTTTATTCTATGAAAGGTGGGGGATCAGGAAAATAAATGAGATTTGATTAAGTCCCTGTCTTTAAATTGATATAATTTATTTGGAGAAACTGATGTGTAACAATTGCAACTTAGGACCAAAAGAAAAAGTGACTCATTTTAATGGAATGTTTCTCTTTCATGATGCATTCTTTCAAGTGAGATAAGACATTTTAAACAGACTGAATTTATTTAAACTATAGTTATATCTAAAATAAAGTGTTAAGATAAACATGATCAAATAATAATGCATGATACAGGCAACTAAGTGCTATGGGCAACTAAGGGAACAAATATTAACATTATCTAGAATTATCATGGAAGTCATAGCAATTGAGAAAGGAACTGAGATGCCCCTTGAAATCTGAGCAGTATCTGCATAGGATTTAAAAGAACTTTCTAACCAGTTAGAACATAATAAATAAAGACATGAAGATTACTTGTACATAGTACCATAAGTACTATCTGACTTAGAACACAAGATGTGTGCTTCTGAAGAAATACTTATAGTAGGGTTGATGAAATGTCTTTCTTAGGCTGGCTATCAATGAAAATACAGCCTAAAGCAAAGAAAATTCCTAGTTCAGGTTTCCCATGGATGAGCTTTAAAAGAATTATCTTAATCCTGAAAAAAGTATTCCTTCAGAGTATATTCCTTGAAAGCCTGTTTTAAAAGACTTTTAAAACTGAGACCCTTTGCATAAAGCAATACTTCCCTAGTTTTTGTTATCCCCCTTGCTATTACATTAGCCTTGTATTATATTAACCTTGTGTTAGGTTAATGGTTTTTATAGAAGTGGTGTTCTGTAGTCAAATAAGCTTTAGAAAAGCTGCATTAATGTTAAGTTTTTTAAAAAGCTATATGAGTGAGTTTGCAGAGCCTTAAAACACACGAATTGTGAATCTTCAAGAGAAATTTTATCTGACATCAGAACTCAGAATCCTCCCTCCTTTGTCCCCCGTTTTGTAGCAGTGATAAGGATTAGAGTTTCTTGCATTAAACAGAAATTGAGGATTTAAAGCACTGACATACATATTTGAAAAATATGTGTATTGGGACAAGTCTCTAATAGGAAAATAGAGTTAATAAAATATATAACATCAAGATTATTATAAACCAGCCTTCCTTGCCTCTACCTACCTTGCTAGTGGCTAGGAAAAAAAAGAGAAATACATCTATAAATGTATAGGAAATTTTTTCTAAGCACCTGGAACAGACTATATGCTGAATAAACTTCTTTGAGTGTGAATTTTCTCTAAAACTCAAATCTATCATAAACAAATGATAAAAACCAAGGATGAAAATTTTTATTATTTTAGCAAGGATTTAAAAGAATATTGCCCCTTATTTCACCACAATCTCAGGGAGAATTTTTCAACATTTTTAGAGAACGTCATAGACAGCCTTCAAGAAAACACTTTCAAGGACAGTGTTAAGAGTGTACCCTTAGAAGCATAAATTTCCTCATTTCCCTAGGTGATGGTTTACCAATAGCACCAGTTCATCCTGGTAGAGGTGTACCATGTAGTTGATTGACCATGTTTCATGGTGGAAGAAAACAGCTTACTTAAAAAAGTCCATCTGTAAAAGAAAGCTTGGTGAAGAATCATTTGCTCCTAAAAAGTGTTAGTCAACTCCCTTTTCTGGAGTCAACAGTGATAACCAAACAAAAAATACTTGACTCAAAGACTTGTTAAAGGGGAAGTCCAGTGAATTCTATGTAAGTGATCATATTATTCTATACAGCTATCTCCACCAGTGAGGATGAAACTCCATATGGGTTGGAAATAGTATAAGGAGCAGGAAGGCGTTACCACCGCACGTTGAGGCTGTCACCTGAGCATCTTGTGTTGATCAAATAAAGCCAGTCAGCTCGTAATGAGGCTGTGAAAGAGTATGAAGGATGCGAGTTCAGCAAAATGCAAACTGGCAGCTGTTTTAGAATTCTGGCCTGCCTGGAATAGTGTTTCCATCTCCCTTTACAAGTAAATGAAGACTGTTTACAGACCTTTCTAAACAGGGTCTGGTATACTCAAAGTTTTCATTTAAAAGACAAGAATTTATCATAGAATGTAAAATAGTACTCCTGCTCTTATATAGTTTTAGGGCCATGGTCTCATGTGATTCTTGGTAATAAGCTATTAAAGATTATATATTTAGTGAATGTGGGAGATCAAATAGTGGTGCAGTATTAAAACTCTTGTCTTAAAAATCCTGTTGGGATTTATTAAGTGAATCTGATAGTGTTAATTCATAGGCTGATATATTTATTATCAAAGGAGAAATGTTATTCAAAGTAAGCAATTTGTTTATAATACCATATGAAAATATTTTTATATACAGATACTATGTCAAAATTAAATATATACATTCCATTAATTAAAAAGACAACATATATTATTCTCTTAAACATACACTTCCCAAATTGCAAACTCATTTAGACAAGTTTTATTATACATAAATGAAAAAAGTAACTTCATACTAAAGTTTAGCATCTGTAGACTAGGTGAATTTCTATTTTTTTGAAATTGCTCTTTATTTTTATTTTAAAACATTTATTATACCATTTATTGAAGGCACTATGTTATATCTTTATGTTTAATTACATCTCTTGATATCTCAAGTATCTTTTTATGCTGTTGCTTCTTTAAGGAATATGACTCTTGTTCTCGCAGGCATTCTTCATATGTTACTCTTAACCCTAAAATATCTTCAACACCGAAGATGACAATTTCCACTTTTGATACAGTATGCTGATGTACAGCCATAAAATTATTTTGATAACAAAGTAATGTTAATTTTGAATCCTTATAACCTTTACATACTTCATAGATTTATGTCTTCTCCTGAAATATTTAAATCGGTTTAAAAAGTATTATTGCAACTGGTACCTGATGTAGACTGTCTTACAAATAGCACAGAATTAATACCAATTGATACACATTCACATACATACAAAATAGTTTGTTGACTGTAGCAGTAAATTTCCATTGTTAATGTCCATTTTCTAGTACTACAATATGGATCAAATCCATTTTTACCAGGAGGCATACAGTAACTTACAGAGGCATTCTACTCCGAAAAATTGCAAAAGTGATAGATTCTTGGAGAATGCAAATAAAGTTCATATGTTTCTATATTGCCACTTCATATTTTTCAGTGTTATTTAGCACCCCTCAATATTTTATTCCAACAAGTTTTTATCTTTTGTAGCAGTCTTCTTAAGAAACACCGGTCATTCTGTTTTTTCTGATCCTTTAAAAATTTATTCTCTTCCTAGAAAAACAGATTTTGAAAATTTTAATTTCATATTTTAATAAAAATATACATTTAAAAATATTCCATTTTTCATTTCCATCATGTTGTTATACTGAAAATTTGATATAATAAAAAGGGGAACCTTGCATGACATTTTAAAATTGTAATTTCTAATTGTGATCATTGGCATGGAGGAAGTAGGACATGCAGGTGTGGCTTATGATTTAGCATTCACTGAACAACTACATCAGCTGGCTGCCATTTTCACACTGCCACAGTGGACATCATCTGTTTAAACTTTCATGAGAAAGGTGTTTGTAGATTACTCAACTGAGTTTTTTAATACGGAAAAAATGTATTTTTAGTGGAAGGAATAATTAACACTGAAAATATTCATATTATTTTGGCAAAGATTAATAAGGATATACCTGACTGAGCTTGTGCCCTAGGGTCCATCCCAACAATCTGGCCCTCATCAGAGTATGGCAGAAGCCTGCCTCATAGCTAGTTTTTAGCACCTGACAAGAATCTTAAAAAGGGGTTTTACCTCTGTAAAAGAGCTACAGATAAGGGAGTAGCTCTTCATAGATTCAGTTATATTCCTCTGAGCCCTGTGACCTGGGGGAGTGAGATTAGAACAGGCTAGAGTAATTCCTCACTTAGGTAACAACCAGTTATTCGGTATTTTATAGGTCAGGTATTGTGCTCAGAACTTTACACAACTTATTTCATTTTATCTGCTTAGTAACGCTGTAAAGTTGATTTTACCTCATTTCACAGATGAGGAAACTGAGACACCAAAAAGATAAATAAGCTGCCAAGGTCACGTGTCACAGAAGTATAATGACTGAATCTTGAGCTCATCTGTCCTATTTTTAGTTTAGTCACAAATCTGAATCTCTTTTACTTATATTTTGAGTAACACTAGCACATACCTTTTAAATACTACACTTCAAAAATTAAACAATGGATTTTGGACAAATATGAAGAAAACATTTCCATATTCTTTTTAATGAGGGTCCCAGGACATTTTTAAAAAATACAAATTGAAGTTTACTTGACTAAGCAGATGTGAAGCACATAGATTTGAAAATTTCATACTTTTCCTCAGAGACCAAAATGAGCACTTATTAAAATGACAAAAACAAAGAATCCTGGTTTTTACCTCTGTAATCCTGCAGACACAGATGCTATCATTCTTTTCTAAACTTTCTCTCCAAATTATTTTGGTCAGAAGCCCTCAGTCTATTGATATTACTTGTAGCTTATTTACTGATTTCATTCATTTCAAATCTTCCACTTCAGCTGAAATTCCCAGGGTTTCCTGAGTACCGGGCTGTGTAGACTCACTCTGCTTCTCTAAGAGGACTAAGGATTTTCTATGCTCCCATGTATTTACTGGTCAAATAACATTAAAATAATAATGGATATGTAAAAGAAAACACATCACTCTCATGAACCAGGTATGTTCATTTTTCCATTTCTCACCCTAGTTAATACTTATATCATTTTAAAGTTTAATTCGATTCTGATTAAGTATTTTGCCTTTTTAATTCATAAATATTTTCCATAGTGCTGTATAATTTTCTATGAAAATGTCTAATAATATGTATAAATATAACATATAAATGCTAACATACTATCATATATTATGTATACTGTACATGCATACTAATAGAATAGGTATAAGATCGGTCCTTACTGTTTAATTTTCATTTCTTTACAAACTAATGAGGATGGCTTTTTTCCTTCATGTGCTTGTTTTCTAGTTTATTGTCTCCTATATGAATTGTTTGTTCATGTCTTTTGCCTATTACCTACTGATATTTTAGTGTTGTTGCTTTTTAAGAAATTAATCTTCTGACATTTGCCCTCACTTCTTCTATTGTAAAATAGTGTTTCTTAAAAAAATGCAGTTTAGGGGCCGGCCCGGGGGCGCACTGCGCTAGTGCGCCGCTTGGGAAGCGCGGCAGCGCTCCTGCCGAGGGTTCGGATCCCACATGCAGACCGGTTCCCACTCACTGGCTGAGCGAGGCACGGGGGCAACACCAAGGGTTGCAATCCCGTTGCTGGTCCCAGTCCGGTACGGGGGCAACACTGAGGGTTGCGATCCGTTGCCAGAAACGGAAAAAAAAAAAAAAAAAAAAAAAAAAAAAAAAATGCAGTTTAAAGGGATCCAATTTTTAAGGGGTACCTCCCTTTTCCTTTCATTAACATTATAATGAAAAATTTAAAAACAATTCAAAGAAAAACATTAAGGAATTAGGTTAAGTAAAAAGCTGATGAATTATAAAGAAAATTATACAGTTACTCACCAAATTCTTTGTTGGTTGGGCTTCACCTAGGGAAGGTGGTTTTCGTCCTTTATCCTTAAAAACAAAGTCACATTTACAATATTGAATTTTAAGCCTTTATTGCTTCTCTGGTTGTAACTGCTAATTTTTATATTACTTTCAGTTCATCTAATCTATTTGAGAATCTTCTTTAAATTCCTTATTGTTAGGACAACAGAATACTAATTTCATTTAGAAATAGAGGAAGAAGTAAGAAATGGCTAAGAAGAGAGGTTAATCTTCTGAGAACCCTCTGTCCATAATTTTGCAGGTATGCCCAGCACTAACACAGAAGGGTACAATAACTAGATATGATAAAACTTGAATTTAAATCAATATTAATATAAAGTTAACATTAAATTGTTAAATCCTGGCTATATAGTTTATTAAGCTTCACTCATCAGAAGAAAAATGAAATAAAACAATAGTAAAAAGCTTGCAGCATGCCTGGCTCATGAAGAAAATCCAATGTAGCTGACACTCCTTAACATCTTGTCTTATTTCAGAAAGAGTAAACTGTATCAAGTTAGTTAATGTTGTAATATAATTCAATTTCAAGATTTAAATTCTTTGTGTATTTCCTTTAGAGTTATTTGATTTGGAACATGGTATTCAATGCAAAGTTCAACATATCAAAGGTACAATTGTAAATATATAGCATACCTATGACTTTTACCCCCTCCTAGGCCAAGAGGTGATATCATTCATCTGTTCTGCACTCTTTCCAGTTGAGTCTAGATTTGCAGCTTAACCTCAGCATAGTATTTCCAGAAGTCATTACTAATCAATTGGATGTGCAAGCAATATGAAACCTATCTACCACCCCTGTGTTCAACAGTACTTTGAAATAACAGTATTAGGAATTAAAAGCTGGTAGACTAGAATATAAAGTCTTTATGAATCTTGAGCTGGGCCTTGAAAGATGCATAGAAGAGGTTAGACCAGATTTACAGAAAAAAAGTAGAAATTCCCTGTAGGGGACAAACATAAGTAAGGACACAAAATTGGAAATAAGGTTGGCAAATCCAGGATACCAAGAAGAGACTGGCTTTCATCAAGTAGCTAAAGCAACAATTAATTAAGCTGTTCAAGTTATGTAATCTCTATTTTCATTACTGCCAATAGAGTGCAAAGATAATCTTAACATTTTATCTTCTTTTTTTTTTTTTTCTTCCTTTTTGTCTTTTTTACTGACCGGCAATGGGATCGCAACCCTCAGTGTTGCGACCGCACCGCGCTCAGCCAGTGAGCGGGAACCGGTCTCCACATGGGATCCGAACCCTCGACGGGAGTGCCACCGCGCTCCCAAGCGGTGCACTCTCCAGTGCGCCACCGGGCCAGCCCTTAACATTTTATCTTCTATGGGAAACTACTGGCACTCAAAAAAAAGAAAACATAATTCTTTTTTATATCATAATTTTTAAAAAAACTTTTAAAACCACAGGAAACCTTTTGACTTTGTGTAGAAGTTGGTAAAGTTCCTGAAGATGTAAATAATAATAATAATAATAATAATAATAATAAAACATCACATTAAACATTGAAAACTTTTTAGTACTAAGCAATTACGTGAATTAAGCCATTTAATTTTTTCAACATCCCTACAATGTAGATACCATATTTTTCTTCATTTGTCAGATGAAGAATCTGAAAATCTCAAGATAATGTGTCAAGAGAATGTCTTCCAAATTTTGTTTTGTTGTTTGCTAGTAGAAATGTAGGGAAAAATTAGCCCTATATGTAGCAAAGTTTTTAAAGTGAAAAAAAAAATTGTTGGACATATATATGCCCTTTAGCATATTAAGATATTTATTAAATACCTTTGATTTCCTGTTTTATCGACTAAGAGTTCTTATAAATGTGTACATATGTGTATTAAAACTATTAATAAGTTTTAGAGATAAAAATTTACCATTCCCCACCCGACTTATCACCCTAGCTTCCTTGGAAGTTATTATGGCAATAAAGTATTCATTTGCTTTTTACTTCTCTTTCCCATATTATTAATTTGCCCTAGCCAAGAGATAAGCTATTTCCAAGTTGAGACTTTCCTCTGCTCCAGTGGAGTAAGTGTATTGCAACTTTAAGTAATAATAAGCACTTGGAAATCTATGATAATGGATACAATCATCAGAGAATGACAGTATTCTAGCACAGGAGTAGTTTCTATTTTTGTTCAAATTAAACAGTCCTTAGCTTACCTTGTTGGTGCAGTTCAACAGTTTTAAGATGCCTTGTGATACTATTGATAAGTGGAGATTGAAATCCTCCTCACTGTTATTCGTTTTAAGAAATTGCTTCAACTTGCGAGCAGCACGAAATAGAAACATACCTTCCTATTACAGGAAAAAGTCAGAAGGGCTGTGATTCAAATAAAATATTAAGACATGATAAGCTTTCTTAAGGAGCCTAAAGTGAGAGCTGTATTGATAAGTAATGCCCCACCTCCTCCCCAGCTTTCTATTCAGCTAAATCACATGACTGACAAGTAGCAGGACTGAAACTGTTTAGCACCTACGTGACAGCATGAAGTGCTTAGACCTTGGTTTAATGATTATCTGACTCTTAAAGACTCTTTTCTCTATTTTATATGTGTGACCTAGCTTATGGGTGAAAATATTGCAAGATTATTCAATTTTAAATAGGATAGCCAAAGGACAAGTCTTCTAGAAGCAACAATGACGAAAGGATGTATGGGTTTTTTAAAACCATTTTTGTACCTTTTGAAGCATGAATGAATTGCTGAAAATAAGGAAATAAAGGGTCACAGTCATCTAAAACATAAGTTTTTCAGATATTTAAAGTAAGAATTTTTTTTAAAAAAGAATTTATATTTATAACATGAGATGCCATGAAGTTAACTCAGCTATTGTGAGTTTTAAAAAGACTATCAAATAGCACACTAGTTTCTGTAGGAAGAAATGACACAAACTTTTGGAGATTTTGTAAATTGTAATATTATATACCAACTAGTGAGAGTGGCTTAATGAAAGGCAAATATATATTTTGTAATTTTGAAATGTCTACAACTAAATTATGTTGACAACTTATGTTTGTATGTGTGCAAGCAATCACTTTAACAAGTATTTTCCTAAATGAGAAATTTAGAAATAAGAGATATGTGTGCCTTTGAATTCAGCAGTTAGTATTTTCAAGGTGAAACATAGAATGGTAGACAGAAAAAAAAAAATCTGTTACCTAATAAAGCATAGGGCTATTTGCAAAATAAAAGTATTAAAAAAGACCATCTTATAATTTGAGCTCAATGGGAATTGTGTGGTTATAACCAAAAGGCTATATTATTAATATAACTAATATAATTATCTAACAGTAACAAGAAATATGAGCTTCTGTAAAATCAAGCTCGAATAACAAATGAACTCCAAGTAATTATCATTACCTTATTGTCATCACATGTATGTTTTTTAAAAAAATTAGATCCATTATTCAGGCAATTGGTATCAATATCTCTCATGCTGTCCTGTGGTAAATAATATAAAATAATGTGGTTAAAACTGAGGACTTTTCTAACATGTAGTAATTTATAACAATAACATATCTGCTACTTACATGTGCATTTTAAGGAAAATTACTTTTGCTTGGCTCAGCTGACTATGCATGAAGAATAGTTTTCTTTAGTTAAAGAATAAATAAGTATATATGCAAACCCTCACATATTTAGAGCATCTCCCAGACTCCATAATTTAATCCCAGAATCACTAAAAGAATCTGGCTCATTTAGGGAAATAAAAGCACCTATTTTAGAGGTTGTACTACATGGTAAAATTTTAAATCATAAAATTGAGATCAATTTAAGAGGTTATTGAACCCCATTTTCTGCCACTGTCCACAAACAAGGAAGGGAACTTATACATTAGAATGATGGGAGGGAAAACCTCTTGGCAATGAGAGTTAAGGTTGAAATTCATTCTACAGCATTTTTATCAATCCAATTTGTCTGGGATGGTTAAAGTAGAATTTTACTGAGAAACAGTAGGGTTGAATGTGTGTCTATTGTAAATATAGGAGTGGAAGACGGAATGGTAATACTCATTTTTTATTTTTAGGGAATGTAGTGTAAGAGGGTGGGGATTACCCGAATCAAGGATTCAGTTGACATATTTGGAAGAACTTCCTAAGGACTTAGATATTCTTATGCACAGCGCTGGACTAGTTCTGTTCAGTAATCAAGCAATTCCATGCTATCAGAGCTTCTAAAAGGACTTCAAGCAATCTCAGTCTATATGATGTTACTGAATAAACAGGGTTAAAAGTGGAGCAATGACAGGATTTGGTCATGGACATAATCTTCATCTGCCTCTCAAAAAAGTGTACATTAGTCTTATCACCTGTGAAAACTCTGGTTTTACCTGACTAATATGTATATACTACCTGTTTTACCCCCAAAAAGTAGTGTCTTAATACATAATCATTCATTTAACCATTCAGCACTTCCTAAGGACCAGTGTGCAAGGTCCTCTGCCAAGCTCTTTGTGGAAAAAAAGATAAGAAAACACGGTCCCAAGTTCTTGTGCTGTTTGATATAAAGGGCAGACTGTGCATCCCTTAGACACATTTGCATCATTTCTTATCTGTGGAAAAATATGCTTTTGGGGACAGAAGATTTGTTAGTGCCAACCATCCGAGTCATACTGTAAACACCTCAAGTGCAAAAGATGCATTTTTATGACTATCTCCACATTGCCATTACACACATTCCTGAAAAGGTAGTGAAGAATTAATTGAGTAATTTTCCTATTGACTTCCACTTAATTCCAAGAAGGATAATAAATAATTCATAAATTTTTCTCTGATAAAACATAAAGCATTTAATTTTTGCCACACCATCCTTCAAAAAAGAAGGTAGACAGACAAATGTGCAGCTAATCTGTATGATATTTTACAATTCACCAAAAATATATGAAAATATATTACCGAATTAGTGCCAGTTTCTTGGAGCATTTTAACAAATTGTGTGACATAGGAATATTTGGAAAAGCATATTGGTTAGGCCATTTCTCCAGGTAATTAATAAAACTCATTTTTGGTAGATCTACAGAAAGATAATGCTATACCAGTTGATTTGTTTGCCACACATTTGGTACAGAACATAAAAGTGTTACTGTGCCCTTAAAAGGATGACTCCTATAGAGGTCACAAGTATTATTAACTAGTTTACTTCAGTCCATTAATGAATACATTTAACATAGGTCTACATGGATGTCAATTACAGTTGTTTCTGAAATTGTTTTCATTCACGCCTATCAGAAGAGTGGCTCAGAGTAAGAATATAGAATCATGGAGTTAGAAAGAACCTTAGATATCCATCTCTTGATTTAACACAGAGCAGAATTCCCTGACCAAGGTCATGACAATAGTTTCTTATAGACATCTTGACATATGTGAAGATTTCTTCAAATTTATTATAAACATGGAAAATCACAAGAGAAAAGCCAAGATCACATTGACTGTGAACTGCAATATTTTCTATTATAAAATACGATATTACATAAGTTGTTCCTAAAATACATAATGTCCCTTTATTTTGTAGAATTAGATCTTCTTTCATATCGGCATGGTTTTCTTCCATCTTGAAATTGTTTTCTATTACATTTTTTTTTCCTTTTTTTGTCTTTTTTACTGACCAGTAATGGGATCGCAACCCTCGGTGTCACGCCCGTACCGGGGACCGGCAACGGAATCGCAACCCTCGGTGTTGTGTCCGCACCGTGCTCAGCCAGTGAGCGGGAACTGGTCTCCACATGGGATCCAAACCTTCGGTGGGAGCGCCGCCACGCTCCCAAGCGGCGCACTCTCCAGTGCGCCATCGGGCCGGCCCTTCTATTACATTTTTAAGTTTCTTCTTTAGAAACACTAATTATATATAAAATGATCTTCTATTTCACTTTTTAAAAACATATTTATCTTTTAAAAAATTATTATCGTGTGTAGTTTTCTTCACCATGTCTTTTCTATGCTTATTCTAATGGGGCACTTATTTCTGGTTTTTATTTTATTCTTCGTTTTTCTCCAAAATTTAAAGGCTTGCCTTTATTTATTTATTTATTTATTTATTTATTTATTTTTTGCTATCTCTTCTCTAATATTGTATTGTTTTAGCTATTTTTCCTTTGGTTTCTTAGAAATTATTAAGAAGAAAATTTTTGAGATTTTCTACTGCTATCATGGATAATTAATCTTTTGATCTAAATTCTTCATTTTCCTTTTGCTTATTTATGAATTTACATGTTATTCCTTTGTTCACTTATTTTGGTAGCATCAATGCATACTACTTTTCCTTTTGATTTTCTGGTTATTTTTGAAGGGATGCTAAGGTAAACAGTTGTTCAGCCAGTATTGAATGTTTCCACTGATCCCATAGAGGATATATACATTATTTAGGGCTGTTCTAACAAATTACCAAAAATTTGGTAGCTCAAAACAACAGAAATTTATTCTCTCACATTTCTGGATCCAGAAGTCCAAAATCAAGGTGTCATCTGGAGGATAGGGAAAAAAATCTGTTCTTTGCCTCTTCTATCTTCTGGTGGCTGACAGCATTCCTTGGTGTTCCTTGGCTCTAGTCTATGCCTCCATCTTCACATCCCCTTCTTTGTGTGTGTGTCAAATCTTCCCCTACCTGTCTCTTAGAAGGACACTTATGATGGCATTTGTGACCTACCCGGATAATCTAGGATCATCTCACCATGCAAAACCTTTAGTTTAATCATATCTGTAAAGATTCCTTTTCCTTATAAATTTCCAGGGGTTAGAATTTAATATCTTTGGGTGACCATTATTTAATCTACTACAGAGAACTATGTTTCCTGCCCATTGATGTTGAGTTTGACCAAAAGACTTGCTTTAGGTAGTGGATGTTAGCAGATTGGACTAGAGCAGAGGCTTAAAATGTACTTGCACAATTGAGTTTGGCCTCTTGTACTCTTGTCTTTCAACATGAGGAGAACAAGCATATGGTAGCAGCTTGTGTTCATTGTTTATTACTGCATTATAAATTACCACAAAAGGTAGCTTAAAACAAACATTTCTTATTGTGCAGTTTTTGTGGGTCAGGAATCTGGGAGGAGTTAACTTGCTACTTCTGCCTCTTCATCTTCCTTGAGGTTGTAGTCCAGACACTGGCCATGTCAGCAGTCATTGAGGCTTGACTAGGACTAGAAGATCTACTCCCAAGATGCTCCATTCATGTAGCTCTTGGCAAAAGGCCTCAATTTCTCATCATGTGAGCCTCTCCACAGGCTCACTTAAATGTCCTTACAAGATGGCAGGTGGCCTACCCCACACATGCAATTCAAGGGAAAGAAAGAAGGAGGCC